TACATTTTTAAAAAGGTACTCAATTTTTTTTTATTAACTCATGAGACTTGGGCATTGCTGGCTGACCAGCGTTTATTCCCCATTCTGAGTAGCTCTTGAGAAGGTGGTGGTGAGCTGTCTTCTTGAACAGCTGTAGTCCACGTGTTGCAGGGTCCGTTATGGAACGCCCTTAGGGAGGGAATTTCAGGATTTTGAACCAGCGGCATTGAAAGAACAGTGGTATATTTCCAAATCAGGATGGTGATGGCTTGGAGAAGGACTTGCAGGTGGTGGCGTTCCTGTTTATCTGCTGCCCTTGTCCTTCTGGACAAAAGTGGACATGGATTGGGGAAGAGCAGTTTTAGGATCTTCAGTGAATTTCTGCAGTGCATATTGTAGATAGTAAGTGCTGCTGCTATGAGCATTGGTGGAGGAAGGAGTGAGTGCTTGTGGATGTGGTGCCAATGAAGTTGCTTTGTACTGGATGATGTCAAGCTTCTTGACTGTTGTTGAAGCTGTACCCATCCAGGCAAGTTGGGAGTATTTTATCACACTCCCAATTTGTGCCTTGTAGTTGGCGGACAGGCTTTGGGATGTCAGGAGGTGCGTTACTCACCACAGTATCCCTAGCCTCTGACCTGCTCTTGTAGCCATTGCATTTATGTGATGAGTTCATTTGAGTTTCTGGTCAATGGTAACCTCCAGGAGATTGAATTAGTTGGGTGGATTCGATGAGGGTAACACCACTGAATGTCAAGGAGGGTGGTTAGATTGTTCTTTTATTGGAGATGGTCATAGCCTGGCATTTGTATGGTGTGCAAACTACTAACCACTTGTCAGACAAAGCATAAATGGTGTCCAGGCATTTGAAATAGACTGCTTCAGTATCTGATGAGTCGTGAATGGTGCTGAACATTTTACAATCTTTGGCAAACATCCCCACTTCTAACTTTATGATGAAAGGATGGTCATTGAAGAAGCACCTGAAGACGTTTGGGCCTACTTCACCACCCTGGCGAACTCCTGCAGAGATGACTGATCTCCAACAACCACAACCATCTTCCTATGTGCCAGGTATGACGCCAAGCGGTGGAGAGTTTACCCCCAGTAGCCATTCCACTTTTGCTAGGGCTCCTTGATGCTATAGTCAGTCGAATGCAGCCTTGATGTCAAGGCTGTCACTCTCACCTCACCTCTGAATTCAGCTCTTTTGCCAAGTTTGAACCAAGGCTGTAATGAAGTCAGGAGCTGAGTAGCGGAATCTAAACTGGGCGTCACTGAGCAGGTTATTGCTGAGCACTTGACAGCACTGTTGATGACACTTTCTATCACTTTGTTGATCATCAAGAGTAGACTGATGTGATGGTTATTGGCTGGGTTGGATTTGTCCTGCTTTTTTATATGCGGACAATTTTCCACATTGTCCAGTAGATACAGGCAATGTTGTAACTGTACTGGAACAGCACGGCTAGGAAAGCGGCAAGTTCTGGAGCACATGTCTTCAGTACTATTGCCGGAATGTTGTGAGGGCCTGCAGTCTTTGCAGTATCCAGTGTCTCCAACCGTTTCTTGAGATCATGTAGAGTGAATCGAATTGGCTGAAGACTGGTATCAGTAATGCTGAGGACCATTGGAGAAGGCCAAGATGGATCATCCACTTGGAAATTCTGGCTGAAGATTGCTAAGAATGCTTAAGCCTTATCTTTTGCACTGATGTGTTGGGTTCTTCTATCATTGAGGATAGGGATATATGTGGAACCTCCTCCTCCACTGAGTTGTTTAATTGTCTACCACGATTCACGACTTGATGTGACAGGACTGCAGAGCTCAGATCTGATCCGTTGGTTATGGGATCACTTTGCTCTGTCCATCACTTGCTGCTTACATTGTTTGGCACGCCAGTAGGTCCTATTTGGTTGACACCTCATCTTCAGGTATGTCTGGTGCTGCTCCTGGGATGCCCTCCTGCACTCTCCACTGAACCAGCAATGAACAATAAAGGAATTAAGGGATACGGTGAGAACACGGGTAAGTGGATCTGAGTCCACGAAAGGGTCAGCCATGATCTTGTTGATCGGCGGAGCAGGCTCGAAGGGCCAGACAGCCTACTCCTGCTCCTAGTTCTTATGTTCTTATGATCCCCTGGACTGATGATAATGGTTGAGTGGGGGGGAGTGGGGAGAGAGAGGTGGAAGGGGGGATTGGGATGTGCCAGGCTATGTGCCAGACTATTGTGCTAGAGTACAATTCTGCTGTTATTGGTAGCCGAGAGCACCTCATTGAGGCCCATTCTTGAATTGCTAGATTTTTTTGAAGTCCGTCCTGTTTAGCACTGTGGTAGAGGGTATTCTCAATCTGAAGGAAAGTCACTGACTCCACAAGAACTGTGTGGCAGTCACGAACAACTACTGTCATGGACTGCAGATGGCACTTGGTAAGGATGAGGTCAAGTATGTTTTTCCCTCTTATTGGTTGCCTCACCATCTGCTGTAGACTGAGTCTAGCAGTTATATCCCTTAGGACCCAACTAGCTCTATCAGTAGTGCTACTGCTGAGCCATTCTCGCTAGTGGACATTGAAATTCCCCACCCACAGGACATTTTGCTCCATTGCCACTCTCAGTGCTTCTTTCAAGTGTTGTACAATATGGAGTAGTATGGATTCATCAGTGGAGGGAGGATGGTGCATGGTGATCAGCAGGAGATTTCCTTGCCAATGTTTAACCTGAAGGCATGAGGCTTCATGGGGTCCAGAGTCAATGTTGAGGGCTCCCGGAGCAACTACCTCCCGACTGTGTACCACTGTGATGCTACCTTTGCTGGGTCTGTCCTGCCGGTGGGACAGGACATATCTAGGGATGGTGATGGTGGTGTCTGGGACATGGTCTGTAAGGTATGATTCCATGAGTGTGACTATGTCAGGCTGTTGCTTGACTAGTCTGTGAGACAGCTCTCCCAACAGCTCCCAGATGTTAGTAAGGAAGACTTTGCAGGGTTGACAGGGTTATTTCTGCTGTTGTCATTTCCGGTGCCTAGACCAATGGTCCGTTTGCTTTCATTCCTTTGTTGAGACATCATAACAGTTGTTAGAATTGAGTGAATTGGGTGGCCATTTCAGAGGGCAGCTGAGAGTAAACAACATTGATGAGAGTCTAGAGTCATATGTAGGCTAGACCTGGTGAGGATTGAAGATTTCTTGCCCAGAAGGACATTAGTAAGCCAGATGGGTTTTTCGACAATCAACAATGATTTCATGGTCATCAGAAGATTCTTAAGTCCAGATTTTTTTTATTGAATTCAAATTCCACCAACTGGTGGGATTGGAACCCAGCTCCCCAGAACATTAGCTGAGTTTCTGGATGAATAGTCTAAGCAATAATACTACTTGGCCATCACCTCCCCGAAAATCATATTTTCCAGAGTTTATGGATTCCATTGTATTCTGATGGCAAAAGAAAATCCATACAAATAACATCTAGGAGTGCAACAAGTTCTGGAACACAAGTCTTCAGTACTATTGCAGGAACGTTGTCAGCAACAACATCATGGGCTCTTATCTTATTCAGCAGCCTCCTGTGTGGCACCTTGTCAAAGGCCTTCTGGGCATCCAGATAGATCACATCCACTGGCTCTCCTTTGTCTAAATTGCCCACTACCTCCTCAAAGAATACTAACAGATTTGTCAAGCATGCCCTCCACTTGAAGCCGTGCTGCTCAACACTATTTTACCATGCACTTCCTAGTATTAAACAATTTCATCCTTAATAATGGAATTTAAAACTTTACCAATAACTGAAATCAGGCTAATCGACCTATAGTTTCCTATCTTCTGCCTCCCTCCCTTTTTAATTAGGAGTGTAACATTAGCCCTTTTCCACCCCTATAGGACCCTTCCTGACTCTAGCGATTCTTGAAAGATCACCACCAATGCTTCTGCAATCTCCTCAGTAATTTCCTTTCAACACTTGGGTGTAGTCCATTTGGTCTGGGGTGTTTATCTACCTTCAGACCTTTCAGCTTCTCCAGTACATTCTCCTTCGTGATGGCCACTACACTCACCTCTACTCCCTGACTCTCCTGAAGTTCTGGTATGCTGCTGGCTGCCTTCCACTGTGAAGACTGATGCAAAGTACCTATTCAGTTCCTCTGCTATTTCTTTGTTCCCCATTACTACTTCTCCAGCCTCATTTTCCAATGGCCCATTGTCCACTCCTGCCTCTCTCCTACCTTTTAGATATCCAAAAAAACCCAACAATCTTATTTTACTTTTACTGGCTAGCTTTCCCTCACTTTTCACCTTCTCCCCACTTATTGCTTGGTTCCCTGACTTCCCTTGTCAGCCATGGTTGCTTCATCCTCCCCTTCGTATGTTTCTTCTTCCTTGTGATGAATTTCTGCTGTATCTCCTGAACTACACCCAGAAACTCCTGCCATTGCTGCTCCACTGTTTCCCTGCTCGGTTTCCCATGCTATCAACTCTGGCCGGCTTCTCCCAAAACAATCTGATGTCTTGTAGTTTACCTTTATACAACTGTAATACCATTACAAGTGATTCCAGCTTCTCCCTCTCAAACTGAAACATCTGTTCCTAGGGGTCTACAAGAAAAAAACCCTCACCAAGAAAAGAAATGCTCGTGCCTATGTGTCAAAAGGACTTTCAGAACGTCTTAACAGGGAATTTGATGTTCCTCTGAATCACAGGATGAAGAAATACAATAGAATACAGGTGACATTTGAAACAATCATATAAATGGAAGGAAAGTAATAAATCAGGTCAGAATTTGTATTCAACACGCCATCAAGAACTGACCGTACACCCTGAAATCCCACAAAAAGCATAATGCTTTAACACCATTATTCAGATATATTCCATAAAGCTGGCTCTCTTGATATCACCTCCTTAACTGTAGCATTGCTGTTCATCGTCCACAGTTATAGCCATAACGTTGCCTTTTATTTTGAGATGATAAGGCTATGTACAATGAATTCTTTCTGTCTGGCTACTAAAAGAACAAAACTTACATGGCATAACAATCAGGCTGATGGGCTCTTTCTGTGCAATTGTTCTCGTTTGGGAAAAGTGTGCAAAACAAAGGTAGTCTTCCCGGCTATCAGATGACTGGACATTTGAAAAGTAAAGATCTCCATTAAGCCCCTGGGAAGCTCTGCTGTTTTGTTGTATGCGCTGTATCTCTGAAAATTAAAACAACTTTCATGAAACAATAAAATTTGTTTAAACTGGTGATTTGTTAACACACTTTTGCAATTTCATTTCTACCATTCATAAAAGCCATTAATTTCATCCCAACAATTGATGGTACAATTGTAATAATAATGTCAATGATTTACAAAAATTAATAACACTAATTTTCATAACGGTAGCTAGATCTAACTTTCCAATTCACAATTATTCATATAGATCAAGAGAAGTGCTGTTTATTCTGATAACTGGTTATGCAGTTAAAAGGAAATTTAACGAAAGCAAGAACAAAATAAGGCCAATTTGTTGATTAATCACATCTCTCTGGTGTGCTAAATATCATAGCATGGAACCTCAAATTGCAAAACTTCCATGATTCTCTAAGTACAACCACCACTATTTACAGGGACCATGTCAGTGGTACATACAATTTGCCTATCATTACTGGTGGATGTTGAGACCAGAAAGGTACGTCACCAACTTTATTTTTAACATGAAACAGGAAATCACACTTTCTGTGCAACTGTCTGTCCAAATAATTACCATATGCTTCCAGAATCTCATCACTCAAGCAATCCTAATACAATGAAATATGAACAGCTGGAGACTAGACTTTGAGTTCAGCATAGCCTTTTAAATCACAGCATTCGAATCAGAGATCTGTCCCTTATTCAATTTAGTTTCCTTGGGATCTCTAACATCTAACCTCATGCTTTACAGTAATTCAGTATTACTGACACAAAGCAATAATTCACGACATCTTTCTTTTCATTTACAATGTCAGCACTGTCAGTTTTCAAGATGTCTACATACCTCTTAGCTATATTGTTTTTCCTAACATAGTTGTAGAAGATGCGTGTTGATCTTGATACCAATGCATTTTTTTTTTACTTCTTTTCATAGTTCTTATTTTCTATATTGTCACCTTTTCAGTTTCTTTATATTTCTTCAATTAACCAGACCTGTGTTAATTTTTGCATTTTTGTGCTCGGTGTTTGCATTTTTATTTATTTTGTATTGTCTCTCAGTTTGATTTAGTTTGCCTAAATAATGTATATGATGTGCCTCTGCTACTTAATATTTTAAATGCTCCAAATGAGTCTATCAAATCAATGTAATTTCAGAGTGACAGCTGTTACAACAGAAGAATTGTAAAATTAAAATTGATTTTATTCCCCAACCTTTTCATTTACATTTTAGTTATTTTGTTTGCTATCGGTGAAAATTTCATAATCAGAAACAAAAAGCCTATTGAGGCTGAAGAAGGCATCAACAGATGCAATAATGACCGAATTTAACAATTTAGTTAAACAGCTGGCTGGTATGTGCTGTCATAAATGTGTAAGAAATGGCACTTACTGCTGGTCATCCAATAAATATTTAATGGAGGTGGCCCACTGGGAGGATTGCATGGTAATACTACAGCATCTCCCTCCTCAACTTCAAAATGTTTTGTACTCTCTTTTGGAAATCTGGGGATAGCTGGAAAAAAAAACAAAGGCGTTAGTCATAATATGTACAGTCACTAGAAATGGAAAATGTTAATTTCAAGGATTAAATAAGGCAATGAGGGCACAAGCCAGACAGACAATCTCAGTTAAATGAATTAGATGCCTGGTCAAGGTCAGTAAATGTCAAATTTCTTATTTCATTAACTGTATCATGATGCTCACACACTACTCAATGTGTCACACCCACAGTCGTCGCCTACCAACAATCTCCATCAATCATGATTCTATCATGACTGTAATCTAATACTTGTAGCTTTACATTGTCCTCACATACTTGACACTGCTGTAAGTCTCACAGGCTCATCTCACAGACCGTATGCACCGCCAACTAATTCAGTCTGGACAGTTGCATCATCTGAACACATTACACCTCACTTAGTAGCACATTTTCCTCACTCTTTCGGGGTAGGTTGGCACATAATTGCAGGCATTGGTCGTCACGCAGCCAGGACCAGGCAAAAATGCATGTTCACACTCTAGTGGAGAAAACCATTCCCAGCGAGTGGTCATCACTGACACTATGGCTAATAAGAACACAAGAACATAAGAAATAGGAGCAGGAGTAAGCCACCTGGCCCGTTGAGCCTGCTCTGCCATTCAACAAGATTGTGGTTGATCTTTTTGTCGACTCAGTTCCACTTACCCGTCCACTCTCTATAACCTTTAATTCCTTTACTGTTCAAAAACCTACCTTTGCCTTAAAAACATTGAACAAGATAGCCTTGCTTCATTGGGCAGGGAATTCCACAGATTCACAACTCTTTAGGTGAAGAAGTTCCTCCTCAACTCAGTCCTAAATCTGCTCCCCCTTATTTTGAGGCTATGCCCCCGAGTTCTAGTTTTACCTGCCAGTGGAAACAACCTTCCTGATTCTAAGTTCTCTATTGCCTCCATAATTTTATGTGTTTCTATAAGATCCTTTCTCATTCTTCTAAACTCCATTGAGTATAGTTCCAGTCTACCCAATCTGTCCCCATGAGGCAACCATCTCAACTCCAGAATCAACCTGCTCTGCACACTTTCCAGTGACTTACTTTCTCAAGTAAGGAGACCAAAACTGTACACAGTACAAGTATACCCAGAACCTTCTGCACAGCAGCATGCTGCAATTTTTCACCATTTAAATAATAGTAGGACTAAAACAAGTAGAAATGATTATACACTGATAGTTAATCTTCCTAACATCCCAGTTCTCCCACCTCGTTCAATTTCATCTGATCTAGAAACTACAAATGCTACCAAGTTCGCTTACACCCCCAACTCTTCCCTGAACACAACGCTCCTGTGCTCTCTTTCTCCACTTGTATATATTTATACTGCAACTAGGCAAGTAGTGGAGATGAAAAAACGTTATTCACCATCATGTTCACAACCACTAGGTCAGAGGGTAGGTTAGAACTGCAATGTGGGCATAAATTGCCTCCAGGCAAGGAAGAAAGCAATTGTCGCACAGATGCCAGGTCACCAGGAGGCAAGAGCAAACCTGAGTTCTACTAAGACAGATTTAAATGAGCACTTTGCAAGGACAGGGCATAGTATGTCAGAGGCTGGATACTGAGTGGAAGGCACTCATCTCCTGACTCCCCAAAGGCTTCCCAGAAATTACAAGGTATAAAGAGTATTATGAAACATTGTGCACTTGTTTGGATGATTGCCAACACTGCCATCCATGAAAATGTGCCCTTTTGATTAGCACTCCACTGTAAATGTTTACATGCTTATAAGCTGCCACACTGCAGTGCACTGATGTACTGAAGCAACTCACCAATGTTCCTTCGCCAGTACCTCTTAAATGTACAACTTCTAACATGTATGAGAACAAGGGAAGTTGGTGCATGGGAGTCTCACCTACCTGCAGGTTACCCTCCAGGGTCATACGCCATGCCATGCTTTCACCATCACTGCATCAAATCTGGGCATTCCCTACCTAATAGTGCTGTAAGGACACTTTGGCACAGACTACAACGGTTCAAAACACTCGCTCAAAAACATACCATTCAGGGCCATTAGACATGGGCAATAAATACTGTCCTTGTCAATGAAAACCACTTCACAATGCACAACTTAAAACAAAAATTGGGAACACTCATCTTTACCTACTGTTAAATCCAGGTGTGAATGAGTTAGAGATGGACTGCAGTCAGCTTTGATTAAAAAAAAATCTCACCCAACCACAGTGACTGAAAGTCCTAAGCATATTTACCCATGAACGTTGAAGCTGCCATGGTATAATTCAAAGAATCATGGGGAATTTACCCTGTATCCCAGCCAATCCTGGAGTCTCATTGACTGTAAAATGGGCAATAATACAGAAAATCCACTGCATTGTGCATAAAATGCTTTAGAAATTTCAGAGACCTTAAGTCACTCCAAATGTAGGTCTTTTTGTTGTATTTTTCCCATCACTGCTTCAAATGTCATGTGGAAACAAACTCCTCAGTTCCAAATTAGACAGTCACATAAATGTCCAGCTCAGCACCCTCAGTCCAACTCAACCCTTCCTATGACTTTTAAATGTTGTGAATTGTACCAGGCTCCACCACTTCCTCTGGCAGCACCCTTTGCACGAAGAAGTTGCCCCTTAGGTCCCTTTTAAATCTTTCTCCTCTCACCTTAAACCTATGGCCCCTAGTTTTGGATTCCCCAACCCTGTTGTGAAACCTCAAAGGGTTCAAAGGAGATTTACAAGGCTGTCACCCAGGTTAGAGGGTTTGAGCTATGGAGAGAGGCTGAATAGGCTGGGCTATTTTCCCTGGAGCATCAGAGGCTGAGAGGGTGACATTATCGAAGTTTATAAAATCCTGAGAGACATGGATAGGGTAAGAATTGCTGAGGTAATTCTGAACTTGTCATATGTTTCCATTGCACAAGGGAAAAAAAAGTCAAGTATTGAAATACACCAAGAATTAAGATTGCATCAATAGCATGTTTGCAATCGATGCTTTCATCATTCAGACACTATTTAAATTCATCACAAGGCGTTATTTCTTTACCACTTACCACTGGGAAAAAGAAAGAACTTTTAGAAAGTCTAATCCATTTTCCAGTGATTGTGAGGAACAGGACATGCTTCCCCGCTACTTGGTATTATGGGTACAATTAAAGAGATTGCAAGTCCATCTGGTGAGGGAACTGGGGAAGAAAATTATTAAGAAGCTTAATGTGGGCCAGTAGTTCTTCTGCAGTTAAAGTGCAAGCATTTTGTTCCAGAACAGGACAGTTTTCTGGCTGGCTGAACAACTTGATGCAGTGGGCCAGAATAGAAAAGTATTCAATTTTCCATTATAGTCTCTCAACTTGATGAACAGAAACAATCACCTAAAAATGCAAAGAAAGAATTTGGCACCAAAAAAATACATTATACAACTAAAGTGGGAACATTTATCGGAGACATTCTGTGTACTAGTATGGTAGAAACATTTCCTTAAATAGAAAAATATGCGCTTTGTTTGGTTCAAGACTTAATCAAAGCACATGCCATTCCAAGTGTAATATTATCAGCTCAAATTCAGAACTACCTGTGTTCAAAGTCCATACTGGAATACATAATCAAGCTGACAGTTCAATACGAAGGGGAAGGTTGCACTGTTGGAACACAGTATTTTGAAATTAATGCTCTGTCTGCCTGTTTATAAGAGTGAGAAACAGTGGACAGTGAAGAAGATTATGTCAAAGTAGAATGGGACCTGGACCAGATGGGCCGATGAGTGGCAGATGGAGTTAATTTAGATAAATGTGAGCTGTTACATTTTGGTAAGGCAAATCAGGGCAGGACTTATACACTTAATAGTAGGGTCCTGGGGAGTGTTGCTGAACAAAGAGACCTTGGAGTGCAGGTTCATAATTCCTTGCAGGTGGAGTCGCAGGTAGACAAGGACGTGAAAAAAGTGTTTGGTATATTTGTCTTCATTGGTCAGTGCATTTACAGGAAATAAAAACCGCAAGAACTGCAGACGCTGTAAATCAGGAACAAAATCAGAAGTTGCTAGAAAAGCTCAGTGGGTCTGGCAGCATCTGTGAAGAAAAATCAGAGTTCACATTTCAGGTCCAGTGAGGACCCGAAACATTAACTCTGATCTTTCTGCACAGATGCTGCCAGACCCACTGAGCTTTTCAGCAAATTCTGTTTTTGTTCATTGAGTATAGGAGCTGGGATGTCATGTTAAGGCTGTACACTACAATGGGAAAGATATTGTTAAAACTGAAAAGGTGCAGAAAATATTTGCAAGGATGTTGCCGGGGATGGATGGTTTGAGCTATCGGGAGAGGCTGAATCAGCTGGGACAATTTCCCCGGAGCGTCTGAGGCTGAGTGGTGACCACATAGAGGTTTATAAAATCATGAGGAGCATGGATTGGGTGAACAGCCAAGGTCTTTTGCCCAGGGTAGGGGAGTGCAAAACCAGAGGGTATAGGTTGAAGGTGAGAGGGGAAAGATTTAAAAAGGATCCAACAGGCAACTTTTTCATGCAGAGGGTGGTGTGTGTATGGAATGAGCTGCCAGAGGAGGTGGTGGAGGCTGATAAAATAGCAACATTTAAAAGGCATCTGGATACGTACATGAATAGGAAGGGTTTAGAGGGATGTGGGCCAAATGCTGTCAAATGGGGCTAGATTAATTTAGGATATCTGGTCAGCTTGGACAAGTTGAACTGAAGGAAACAACAACCAAAAGAACTGCGGATGCTGTAAATCAGGAACAAAAACAAAGTTGCTGGAAAAGCTCAGCAGGTCTGGCAGCAACTGTGAAGGAGCAAACAGAGTTAACGTTTCGGGTCCGGTGACCCTTCCTCAGAACTGAAGGGTCTGTTTCCGTGCTGTATATCTCTATGACTTTATGATAAGTTAAGTATTTGCATCCGACTGCAAAAGTACTTGTCCAATAATATTAAAATGCCAGATCAAACATACCTAAGTCACCTCAAATTAGATTAAAAATGTAATTTTGTACCCTGCAGGGTGTTTGCCAACATTAAACACTTCTTGTTAAAAAACCTATTCATGAATAGATAGAATATATTGTCCTTCTGGTATCAAGCAGCGTAGATATTATTTCCTAGTTATATCCTTCGGAGCAGTATTTGTAAAATTTTTGTGGAGATTCATAATTCAGATGTATTTCTCAAATACTTAGCGTCGCATCAGGTTAGATGCACGTCAAGACAACACGTTGTCAGACTTTTAGGCAGACGCAATGACATCACCTCACTCCCCACCTTATTCATAGGTGAATTGATGTGGTGAAAAGAAACCACAACTTGACCAGGTTGCTCCATAGCCACTGGACTCTTAATTGGCTCAAGTGGGACCTTCCCCACAGCCTGTCTCACCTCCCATCCGGGAGGATGTCTTGCCTTTCAGGACTGGATGGTCAATCAAATCTCACAATCACTGTTGAGTCTGGGACCTTCCAGAAGGAGCAGCATTGAGCTGCACATAAAGGGAAGCCCTGGGCAGACTGGCTGGACTTGCTGAGGAGTAGGGGTGATGCGGGGGCATGCAGATTTAGCAGACGGACTGGGGCATGTGGGTTGGCAGACGACTGAGGGAGGATCGACAATAGGCTGCAGGTGCCCAAATCAATGGCACTACCCTCCCACCTCCATAGCCCGGCAACAAGAGTGCCAACATGTAGCTTTAGCACCTGACAGTCCAGATAAATTCCCAGAAGTAGCATGAGGATGCCGTAAATTGGCTGTTAATTGACCACACAAGGGCATCAGTTTGCGTACAGATGAGATGATTTTCTGATGCCTCCACTGTCATGAGTAAAATTCCGTCAGGGATGGATAGGTAACAGGTATCCTACCGCCATTATGATGCCCCATTTTCAGCCCCTGTCCTAGACCCATTAACCTCACCTGTGGGGTGAGGGGGATCTGTTATTCATAACATTCCAACTGTTTCTTGCTCTTGAGCTACCCAATTCATCTCATACCTCTGCTTTCTCAATCTATCACTGTGCAAATGAAATGAATTATAGAGCTAGAAATGAAAACTGAATTCATTTTCTGCCGCAAAATTTAATTCCAATCAATTGCTCATCTGACACCAAGTTATTAGTATACATTTCAAAACTAAACTTGAACTTAAATGCATCAGGAGAAGCAATATGGATTGAGAACTTGCCTTGATATGTACCTTGTGACATGGACATCCTTATGAGAGAAGCTTTAGATTAATGTGTATCCTTACACCATCAACTTAATGCAGGTAATCATCCATACTCTACTGTAAACAACAGTGGATTATATAAATTTGGAGCCAACACAGGCCTGGCAGATCTGAGTTATGTTGGCAACTCTCACAGCATTCATTGATGAAAACAAAAACACACACACACAATTATAAAAAGCCTTTCAGCATGAAGAGAAAATCACTGCTAAGATTAAAAATATCCAACATTTGGTTTAGAACACTCCTGAATGGTCCGTAAAGATGTTATTTAATGTAGAAACAAAAGGTTATTCATTGATGTGTATTCTGAGATACAACTAGCACTTTATTTTGACATTTCAAACTGAATCAAAATTACACTATACTTTTGAATGTATGTACTGAAATATTGCACATAGAATCGACACATCTAGTGAACAACGAACCCTTGAAACATTTGAAGATCTTTGTAAAAGTAATTCCATCCAAACATATGAAAAAAACTGGCAGAAGGAGGCCATAAGGCCCTTCGAGCCTGCTCTGCCATTTAATAAGATCATGGCAGATCTGATTATAAACTCAAATCCATATTCCCACCTCCCCCAATAATGTTTCGCACACCTCTCCCTTAAGAATATCCAAAGACTCTGGTCCGACTGCCTTTTCAGTAAGAGTGTTTTAAAGACTCTGAGAAATAAATTCACCTCATCTCTATTTTCAATGAGCAAGCACTTATTTTTAAACAACGATCTCTAGTTCTCAATTCTCCCCTAAGAGAAAACATCCTCTCCACACATACCCTGCCAAGACCGCTCAGGATATTATCAACTCAGATTAGTTAATTAAGATCTTATTCTTCTGAGTTCCTCAAGCCACAAACCTGACATGTCCAATCTTCTGTCATAAGACACCCATCTATTCCAAGCATTAGTCTGATAAATCTTCACAGAATTGTTTCCAACACATTTACATCCTGTTTTAAATAAGGTGATGAATACTGTGCATAGTACTCCACATGTGGTCTTATTAATGCACAAAGTATAACCCCACTAACCTTAGTATTCAATTCCCCTTATAATAACTTTTTACATTTAGAAGAATGAGAATTAGTGTCACATTACAAAAGAACAGGAGTACAGTGAAAAATCTATAATGTTGCCAACACAGCACCATCTTAAGAACAAAGCACCTCAGTACAAATCTTAGGTACAAAAGATAGAGAAAATAAAGAAAAAAGTTACGCAACATTACAGATATACACACTATAGGGGAATAGGAAATAAAGATAAAACAATAGACATTACAGGCTTTCTATAAGGTCTTCCACGTGGTCTGACTGGGTGCCAGCAGTTCCCAAACAGGAGCCATCTTTGCTCTGGACAACTGGCAGATGAGGAAAAGACAGTAAAAAAAAACACAAAGGGGACAAAAAATAGAACAAACAAGAAAAGGAACGGACAGAGCGAACGAGCTCCTGTAAGAGCCAGTTAGAGCATCCTACTCCGCCGCCATCTTGAATCAAAGATAACTTTGCTCCAGATTTCTGGGAAAGTTTCAGCACAATTTTATGCACAAGAGTGACACTGCCGCATTCTTTTCAAAGAAAATTTGCGTGTAACTGATTTACATTTGTTTATTGTTGAAACAGCATTGCACACTGATTTCTTGGACAGTTCATGTATTTTCCAAGATATATTCATTAAATGCTTCTGCAGTTTATTTACAGTTCTCTGTACCCCCACAACACAAGGGTTTACTGACACAGTGTTCTCTAGATCTAACCAAATCACCTTTAGTCTAAATGCATCCAAAACCTTTTGACCCACATTCACCCTTAACATGTTCAGAAGAATTAAACCACATGAATTGTTTTTTTTAAATGGTTGCAGCAATGCTGTGAATAATAATTGATGTAGAGAGGGGCAAACAATGTTGAAAACGGTATACGCAACAGAAGACAGCATCCCTTTGCTATTGTCACTAATTATGCTGTTGCATTTACACTTACTTTATGCCAGATTTTTACGTTCCAAAAAAAGAACAGAAACAAAATTAGCACAAGCTCCATGGACAAGATTGCCAAGGAAAGCAGAGGAGGTTTGGCTGACTTCTACACAAATATCATCCAGGATGCTCAGGGACTTGTGTTTTCAAAATTGTTTACATCAGCTCCTTTTTTTGCTGGATGGCAATATTGAGCACATATCAGGCATACATGGTAAATGAACAATTTACACAAGTGGCTTATTTTTGTGGGGAGGGGCCATTTAGCATAAGCAGGTACTTTGAAAGATTCCAAATCAAGTGAAAGGGAAGATGTTGTTTGCTTGATGTGGATTGAACAAACTCTTCCCATTGGTCAATTCAACTTGACCGAGGTTCAGAAAACCTAGGTCAAGATGTGCAAAATTGAACCAGGAGAATCTTTCTTTTCAATCGGGATTCCGTTGGACTGTAACCACCAAACCCTGGTTTCCCAGATTGATTCCTTCTGCTTCTTTAGCTAAGATTATCCTGATCATTGGCACATTCCCTAGGATTCAAAATGAATGGAATAAATCGATCAATTAGCTAAACTTATTTATTGTTCACAGTGCCCAGGAATACCACAGATCTGCGTGATGCAGAAGTCACAGTAACAAGTTTACCCTAGCTGACTTTATGTTCCAAATTTCTTTCACTTGACATGTTATTTCAATCCAAAAGCACATCACTTACATGTTGCTGAGAAGGTTTCATATGCAAATAAAGTGCATATAGGCTGGCAACAGACATGCTAAACAACTCCTTCAACTGTCAGATTTTCATGAAGTAACTGAAAGTAAACAACTGAAATTATGAAGAATTTACCTGCAGTAATAAAAACAATTTCTTCAGATATTGCTACCCCCAGATCATTGCTGGCAAAACAACGATATTTTCCCTGAAAACTCTTCAAATTTCCGTTGCTGTTTTTGATGGTGAATGTTCCTGAGTTTGTGGTTGTGGTCACTCGGGGATCCTGGGATGGATCGTATTCTTTGCCATTCTTAGTCCAGGTAAAGCTAAAAAACAAAATATTTCCGGAATTATCCAACATATAGGATACCTTGTCTTCCCAAATTTCAAATTCATCCGTTTAACACTCAGAAAAGATTTTCCACAGAGCAAAGAGGATTTATTAAATTGGTGAAGCTCCAATGAAATTTGTATTTCATTAACTTGGTTTCTGCTTATGCTTTCTAGTGCTAAAGTAGCATGGATAGAATAAATAAAACTCTCAAAAACCAGAGTTATCCTCATTTCCATTGAAACTAAATGTATGAAAATAACACAATTTGAAAATAATTTGAGTGAAAATTGCATCAAAATATGGGTGAACCAAAGAATAAAAGCAGAAACATACGGACATTTTCATGTCCTCAAAGGATAAAAAGGACACTCTTTTTTTGCGTCTGCCAATATATAAATATGTAGTTTGGGGTAGGAATGAAGCATTTGTCCCCTCAAACTTGCTCCAATCTTTATTAAGATCATGGCTGATCCAAATATAACCAAGATGTTTTAACATACTAAACATTTGTGTGAAAAGTGCAATACTTTATTACCATGGTAATAACTGAAAAATATGAAGAACAAAGTTTTAAATGAGCGCTTCATTGAAAACTAACATAAAAATTTTACACTCCTTCGTGTTGCTTGGTCTGTTATCACTACTTCCAATCATTGTTGATTAAACCACAGCCAAAAATACAAACCACCAACATGATAGGCTTTGATCCAGAAGCAGTACGTGTATTTGAAAGGAACTTTTCAGAGTTTGCAGCGATTGTAAAGGGATTTATTATTTTTTTGTGGAGGAAGAAATACAGGCACAGGTGACCTGGTTACCCTTGACTTTGAAGTGATACTGACAACATGGATTTAAAATGTGGAGAGTGTGTGGCATTCAGACAAAGGGCTAGAGTGAGGGGGCAGTGAGTAAAGCAAGACAAAGAGTTGGATTCCTAATTGGTCAGAAAATAGAGGTTTCTACTATGATTTCTTTCACCTCCAAATGGTTGTGCCTAGAATCAGCAATGTCACGTGAAGGTAACAATAGATTGGGCACAGCCACATTGACATGACTGATAGAAGCGAAGTATCTAAATGGTCCCAAAAGCCGTGAGCTGTTATGTGGAAGATTGCAAGGGAAGAACCCTGTTCACTCAAAAGCGTCTCTCTGCAAAGAGTCAGCTAAGGGCTTGAGAAAAGAAGACTAGAATTCCATCCAATATCATCAAAGCTGGAAAGAGTTTTGCGGCTGTAACTATTAACAGTCTGGTGGAGTTGATTGTTTGGAGAAGCCACAAGGTCTGTCCATTGCATCAACAATTCCAAGTTGAACTTAAGTATTGCACAATTTACAATGATTCTGATCAAGTTACAAAAAGTGAATTATTCTTCTGTAATTTCTTCATTTGCTTCTTTTATGACTCACAGAACTCAACAGGGATAGTAACACGATTAGTACCTGCCCTCCAGGAAAACCTGGACAGTTTATCCTTCCCTAACTGATTCACCTGGAAGACAATTATTTTACCTTAGTGCAAACAGATTCAAACTCCTGACTTTTAGTGATATTGCTTTCTGCTCTAATGTTAATGATTCATGGTGAGATGCAGCTCAAACTCTGGTAGCTCTGTAGATGTCCTGTGGATATTAACGGTACAGAACAATGGCAGCAGAAAAACAAAGCCTGTTTGCCGTCATTTGGAATTTTCATGGAATTCTTCATTGTAACTACGGGCTGAGAACTGTGCATCCAGCACCTGCTCTGCCACTCAACCAGGAAATTTGTGAATAATTGATTTATGTTCATTTTATTTTGAAACATTCTTTTAAATTTGTACATATTAGCACTGTTTCCAAAACAGATTCATTGAAAACTGTTACAAGCCATTTACAACAGTTTCATCACTGTAGAAATTCCCAGTCCATGGTTGAGTCTTCTGTATTTATGCAAACAATAGATTTATGACCCAAAATTTAGGCGCAGAATGATCTAAAGACATATTTGGAGATATTTTTGGACTTTGAGGGTAATTTTCTTCTGCTTACTTTTTTCAAAATTTCTGACTGAGACTTATACAATACTTAGCCAAAACTGTGTTAATCTCTGTGCATCTGTAATGTTTTTGAATATCTGGCCTCACAATTTATTTACTAGGGCTAAGGAGCTGGAAAGGGCTTTCCAATTGATGCCCTGTTTAATCTCAGAAGAAGAAAGGCAGCAGCAGAAACAGGAGATTCAACTTGAGGCACTAACACAGGAGGCAGTTTCGATATCACTTTTGACAGTACTGTGCATACATTTATTTCATATTGCTGGTTTATATTCTTGAGGAAGAAAATTGCCTTTACCAGAAATTTCAGTCTGAGTTTCCAATGACAAGATCAACGAGCAAACTGACATAAATCCTGGCATAACTTTACTCTAAGTGCAAACCAATAAATGCAGAGCCAAATATAAGATATATGAATTGAGGAAAACTATATTGTTTTGAGATGGCGGTTTAATCTGTTGCACCTTTCTCGCACAGAGAGCAGCATCAGCCTGTTTCGTATGAATAATGTTTCTCATTCATCTCAAATTTCCAATTTCTTGCTAATCTCTGTCTTACTGTTCATCTTCCATCATTTTATGATTGATTTTCTTCTTCCTGTTGCAATCATTTTTCTGCCACCATTTGTGTATCTTTCTTATTTGCTCATTTTTGTAGCAATTTTTTCCCTACATCTCGCTCTTAAATGTTGTTTAATCCTTTAGAATAGACTGTTAACCAGGATCTGATGCTTTCATTTTTGTTCCTCACAGCTACAGTTGTACAGTAATGGAACAGTTACATTCAATATTAAGCACTTTACTAAGTTGGGAGAGGGCTATTACAGAACATGTACCTATCTGTTGCTATTTTTAAAGTGACAGGAAGGGAGAAGAAATATAATGTTTATGACTGACTGCTGATCAAGAATGGACAATAAAACTGAATTTGCTTGAAGAGATTTTGTCATAAAAATGCATTAAGGCATTGCTTTAGTTATTCTGTTGTTTCATACTGAGTGTGAAATCTAATCACTTTACATGCTACCAAATCTTACTCGTACATAGGTAGGACAATTTTTTAGGCCTCATAGGCATGCACCAGATGCAAAGATTTTAGGAAGAAAAACTATTTGGCAAAATAGACAAATTTGCTCACCAGTAATTCAGTGATCTAAATGAAAGGCATGACACAAATCAGCACTGGAAACACTTACTTCGGTGCCGGATTTCCTCTGGCTTCACACTTGATAATGAAATCGTCTGTTGGATATACAACATGCCTCTTAGGCGAGTGGACGGTTATAGTTGGAGGTTGCTGAACTGGAAGAATATTGTCAAGTTTACAATGAGTTAGGTCACCACAATGAAACAAAAAGCTCAAGCAAAGTTCAAAATAAGTTAACCAGTCCCGTTAACAGTCAGATAATTCCTCCATAAAGGCGTATACGATCTGAATTCAAATACCACATGCATAATTGACATTTTTGAGGTTAAGTTGCAGAAGCATTCATGGCCCAATCATGGTAATGAAGTTTTAATGAGTATTGTTGCTAATCCATTTTCCAGAGTTATCATTTATAGATGGGCAAAAATAATTTGAAACTGCTGCATGTAATGTCATGGTTGTAATTCCCTTAATTTATCCCTTTACAGTGCTTTAAAAAAAGACCAATTCCTCGGTTTACTCTTAAAACCAAAGATTATGGTAAGAAAGATTCATGAGAATGTTTCATTTTAATGTCTAATCATGGTGATCCTAATAATACTTGTAGCATGAAACACCAAAGTAGTTTATTACAGAGATACTTGAAGAGACATCAATAGACACTTGAAGAGACAACAATAGATCAATCAATAGAAATGCTACGTTTGGCCTAGTATGAAAATTAAAGCCATCCTTTTTACAAGAGCAACACTACACCGACTCCCACAGCTACCTAGAATACTCCTCCTCCCACCCACCTTCCTGCAAAAATGCTATCCCCTATTCCCAATTCCTTCGCCTCCGCCGCATCTGCTCCCAGGATGAGGCATTCCACTCCCGTACATCTCAGTTGTCCTCGTTTTTCAAGGACCGTAACTTCCCCTCCTCGGTGGTCGAGAACGCCCTCAACCGTGTCTCCCACATCTCCCGCACCTCATCCCTCACACCCCGTCCACGCAATAA